ATATACATATATATATATATATATATATATATATATATATATATATACATATATATAATATATATATATATATATATATATATATATATATACATATATATATATATATATTATATATATATATATATATATATATATATATATATATATATATATATATATATATATATATATATATATATATATATATATATATATGCTTTTATATAAACACAGACTCAGTGACTGTTTATGTCTTCTTCTTACTCCGGCCTAAATATATATATTTAGTATGCATTTATTGTAAATTTATCAAACAGAAAACTTTCAAACGGGCAAATTATCAAATGGCAAAAAAATATTTTGTCAAATGTTTTGTAAGATTTTTTGTAAAATTTTCAGAATTTTGTAAAATTAAATGGAAATTTAGGTTAAGTTTAATGGAAATTTCACAATTTCTATTTTTTATGTGGGGAAGGACAGATTGCAATGGCTTTAATTTAAATGTTAAAATTCGAATTACGTAACACTTATCCGAACAAAATAATGTTTTAAAACATTATCAAAGTTATGCTACATAAATCAATTAAGTTACTCTCATTCCAACACTTTTCAAATATTCTTTCTCAATACATTCATTCCAATTAATTTGATATAGTGAAATTACAAACAACTCTCCCACGATTATTAACAACAATTCCGAACACAGCAATATTCCCCAACTTACAGTTGAACCTAATAAAATACTCTTATCAACTTCCGATATTGAATCTTGTATTCGTAAGCCAAAGTCTAATAGATCATGTAACTCTTGTGGAGTTAATGCAGAACATCTTAAATATTCTTCAACAACCTCATTACATGACTTCAACAACCTCATTACATGCCTTTCAAAGTTTTATAAGAGTCTCTTTAAAAATGGAGCTGTGCCGGAATACTTATCAACTTCCATAATTATTCGAATAGTAAAATCGTTTAAAAAATCTCTTAATAATTCAAATAACAATTGCTGTATCAGTATTACACCTATCTTGACAAAACTCTTTGAATATATTATCATGCAAGTATGTCCGGAAATATCAGACAGCCACTCTCATCAATTTGGTTTCAAGTAAAATAGCTCCAACCTGCATGCAGAGTTCCTATTGAATGAGACATTAAAACATTATAATAATAATAACTCGCCAATATATATCTGTAGTTTAGACGCAAATAAGGCTTTCGATAGCTGTAACTGGGATTTGCTGTTTGAGAAACGTTATTAAAACAAAAACTTACCGCTATCAGTAGTTCACGCACTACAATTATTACACCGCTCGGGTACAGCTAATATATCATAGCTTGGACATAAATCAAATAATTTCCGCTCGTCTCAAGGTGTGCGACAAGAATCCATTTTATCGCCACATTTATACAATATTTACAATAAAATTATATTAAGTCAAATTTTTCCGATTGTAAAGTTGGAACAACAGAAATGGGTTTATACTCTGGTATTATTGCTTATGCAGATGATATAGCCCTGAAAAGTCCTACTCTTTCTGGTCTACAAGAGTTAATTAATAAAGTTCAAACGCAATGTCAAAACCTTTATATCAAATTAAACACAGAAAAAACCGAGTTCATTATCTCCGGTAAAAGTTTAGTTACAAAAAACATAATAAAGTTAACGGTTTTTTCCTAAAATTCAATAATAAACTGAAACACCTCTGATTACTATGGGAAAATAAAAGCCATGAACAAAATATAGCTACAATTCAATCACCAAATGTAAACAGAAGAATTATTCAATTTCAATCAATAACAGAGCTCTTATAAAATCTATCATACGGATTAGAAAATTGTGATTATAACAATACTTTTCTTTATAAATTAGACGCTGTTGGAAGATCAGCATTAAAATTTCTTTTTAATATTTCAAAATACAGCAAAATCTGCATTCCTACTTTAAAATCAATGACGTATCTATCATCCTCGTTCAAAACAAATTAAGATATTGTTTTATCAACGAAATAATAAAAACTTGCAACCGCTTGAAGCTAAGCTTCATGCAGTGTTTGATTAAGGGGAAAAAAATCATTATCAAACGTCGTAACGATGATGTAGAAGATAATATAGCGAAAATTTTAAACCAGTCCTTTGAATTCTGGAACATCAGAGAGCAGAGAATGTTATTCAAAAATTTGATGGTAGAAAGCATTCCAAGAAGAGTCTAAATTAGAACTTCAACTTAGAGTATAAATTATTAGTTTTATGACCTTTGTATTTTTTACCTGTAATTTGGGTGATGAAAATGATAAATAAATAAGTTTAACTATCTTTAATTCCATTGAGAATTAAATTATATATAAAAAATTCATTTCGACTTCGAAACAAACGAAAAAATTTTTATTTTATTTAAAAATAAGTAACACACGTCTTAGAGTAAAAACGTCATGTCCAGTTTTCGAAAGCATGGTTCAGGGTCCCAGTACAGAAAAAAACTGCAGATAAAGTTTAAAAAATAAGACATTTAATAATAGTCTGATCAAGTAGTCAAGGTATAGGTTAACAGCTTTACTTTTTTATTCACAATCTTATATTCATAATTTCATTCCAAAACTGTTAAAACAATTTTTTATTCGGACCATGCTACCAACAGCGTTGAAGAACCCTTGAAAGGGTCCAAGAAAGCTATCTTTCCCTTCAAATTTTTGAACCGTCTCTGAAGAAGAAGAAGATATAAAATCATATGTTTTTAATATGCAGATATTAAAAATATATCATTTCATATCTGCTTATATTAAAAACATACCATAATTCTCAAATACTTTTTTTAATTTAGGATCAAGAGGCGATTCAGCCGGATGATCAAGCAGTTAGAAACAATCACGCTTTGTGGGAGAGAGTTCTATCAAAGTCGAACGCAATCTAGTAATACTAATTTGACCACTTCAAAATCCGGCACATTTTCCTAGAGATTATACAATGAAAATAGTTCCTGCCTCCGTTTTATACAGAATTTCTCTCAACGGAGAGAAGATTTTGCAGTTTCACTCCAGATGAGAACAGCAGCTGTCTTATCTGGAGTGAAGCTGCAAAAGCTTTTGTTTGTTTTCCCTTCTATATTATGGGATAAAAGCATAATTATAGCCCTGGATTTTAGTCTTTCCTCTTGATGTGGAATGATAGAATAAAAGTTAATTGGGGAAATCTAGGAAAAAAGATTAAAAGCCACCAGAGTAATGTTCAACTCACAAAACTGTCTGGAAATCAACCTTTGAAGCCTTGAAAAATCAGACCGAGATCGATTCAGAACTTTAAACGTCAATAAGAAATGACGCATCTAAGTGGTACGAAATTTTACGCTGCGTCATGGACGTCACTCTCCATCTAGCTTCAAGAAATCTATGTTTTCGAGGTGTGTTAACAGTTTATGTTCGTAAAATAATCTTAATGTTGCTTGGAATATTAATCTAGATGTAATTTTTATTTCAATATTATGTTCATATTTTTGTAGGTTCGTCAAACATGCTGGATGAGTATGATAATGGTAATTTTTTAACCACCCTTGAGCTGTTAAGGAAACACAATAATACTTCAGTTCCATCTTGAAGAAGTTTCTCAACATTAAAAACAATGAACAAGAATGCAAGCGCACTATTTGAGCTGGAGAACTCAAAATGATGGTATGTGGTTAAACTGTTTTTGCAGCTATTATTGAAGAGGTCTAGCAATTTATTTTTCAATTATTATTAATAGATCTCCGGACGTGTCTCATACAGAACAAACCAATTTCGTTCTTTGAATTGTTATCTCTAGTTTGGTAAAGAAGAAAGCCCGCAAAGTGAAACAAGTATCATCTGTCTAGTCTTCATTATTAACAATTTATTGATGAATATATAGTTCTATTGATTTTAAATTGTATTTGTAATTTCGTTTTATCATATATAACCAATTTCAAATATATGAATCCAAAATTTGGACACCGATCAAAAATTGACCCTAGGCACAATAAAGCCTTTGTGCGGGCCTGACAACGACAGTTGATAGGAAAGGAAGGAGGGGGGGGGGTTTAGGGGAGAGAGTTAGGCCAAATATTGACAATTTGTCAAAGGGGGAAGGTCAAGTACCGAGAAAAATTACTGATATCATTTATTGACGGCCCCATAAACTGTTTTGATTAATACAAAAATAAAATAATTTATGATTGGAAAAGTAAATAAATCTAAAAAAAAATATTGATAAAACTAAACGGATATTTTTTCGTCCACGATTAAAAAACGAAGTTTACCAACTCTGATGCCTCATTTTTTTACCGACAGTATAATTTCCATCTTCAGCATAAATTTGTATTAAAAGTAAATCTAAATCTATATTACATAAATAGTGAGATTCAATTATTATAAATATTATATAAAAAGTGAGAATTTTTCTAATATATAGAATGCGAAGACTCGTAGAAGACCACTAGGTCTTGCCGTCGAGAACCGCAAGAACGTTAAATAAAAACAAAGTTATTATAGACGTGTTCTTTTTGTTTTTTATACTCTTTTTTTATTTCGCTAAAAATATTTTATACTCTAAGAAAAAAAATTTATATACACTTATATATCATGTATATGATATACTCTATATACTACTACTATAACTTTTTCCCCACTTTTCATACAAGTTTTACTAAAGTTATATTATTGCATTATTATTAATAAAAAAAAAGAAAATTATGCAAATGCTTTCATTTACATAATAAGATATTAAATTTAAAAGATAAAGAAAATACAAAATAACAAAAAACAAAGAAATACTTGACTAAAATATTAAAAAAAAAAAAGATTATTGAAAAAAAAGTGATGTTGAAAATAATAAAATAAAATTTTGAAAGTTATCAATGTTTTAAAACCAATCATAGTCAAGGTTTTGTAACCTATCAAAATTATTTATTATTAAATAATTGTTTTTTCCTAAATACATTGCAATTTATTATTAATACCTATTTTGTATTGATCTACTTGAATTTTTAAAGAATTACGTTCAAATAA